TGCCAACTAACGAGTAACAATCCCGCGGTTATTTGCTTAATGGCGCTTACTGTTGTTGGTCTCCGCGGTAGACTAGAGGTGGCCGTCTCTAATTGCCAACACGAATCTCGAACCAGTAATAATAATTATCCGCTGAATAACCGCGTTCCCTACACGAGGACCGATCGCTGATCTCTCCCCCGCATAAAAATCCCGAGAGGGATGAAAATCGGAAGGATGCTAATCGAGCTGTACGTTTATCCGATAGTTTCCAACGATAGTAATTAATTATCGAAGCGATACCCTCGGTGATTTTCGACACTCGCTTGATACATATCAATTAAACGGTTTGCATAAATATCCGTCGACTAATATACAAAACTTGTGCTTTTATGCTAAAATTTCAGCGAATATCAATGTTAAGTAATATCGATCTGAAAAAATGTATTTTTCTCCAGTCTCGCATAGACGATGAAATTATAGAGCAGTCTGTAATATTTTAAAAATGCATGTTGTCGCAATGATGTTATGCAATGCGGAACATTTAGATGTTAACGAGTAAAGTAACGTTCATCTTTGTGCTTGTATATTAGACGAAATGGCGTTCAATAAATTCTTTCTTAATGGCGTTGATTAAATTCTGGATGCTATATCATAGTAGAATTATATGAGAACTTTTAACGTAATATTGCTAACGGTGATGATACAGAATTTATTTCTAACATTCCCTTGAAATAACCGCCGGCGCAAAGTGGGGCACAATCTACCTTCGCGTTTACACGGTTAGTAACAAAAAAAAAAAAAAAACATGTCAGTAACGTTTATTAGAATTCCAAAAAAAAGGGGGAAAAATACATGCAACTGTGATATATAATGCCGATACAAAAGGTCAGGTTTAATATACCCTTAAATCGACTATAGCTCGGCGGAGCTAGTTACTTTTCGCGTAATAAGCGTGCCTTTCTCTTTTTTTTTTTTTTTTTTTTTTTTTTCTCGTATTTTTGAGCAGCGCGAAATTATTTTCACTAGCTAGACGTTCATCATCGCGCCAGCACGAATTTGCAAATTTTCCATAGCTGCTCTTCAACGGGATTCGTTTTGCCCCGGTTCTACTACGGGCGTAAGCGACTTTTCCCATACACCTGCGCATTTACCATTGCGCACCTCCCCACCCACCCTTCCATCCCCAACCAACCCCCTTCTCCTATCTCTCTCCACGCCTCCGTATAGTCTCTCGTCGACCTATCTCCTCGCTACGGCAATTTCAAAAAAGTGCATTTTTGAAAAAACCATAAGACTAAACTTCTCCTAACTGTACTCCTCCTCCAACCAGACGAAGAAAATCTATACGTCGGATGGGCGCGTTCTACGGTCCGATTCAGAAAAACATTCCCGCTTTCCTCTCGAATAAATCGAAACACACGCTTCGTAACGCAAATAACTCATCGTTGGAGAAAAATGTCAACGCGTCATTTTTCGTACTAATGCAAATCTCTCATCAAACGTGTGTACCGATATATAACCAATGGTCGGTGCAGGGAGATAAGTCTCTCATCAACGTTCGGTCGTTTCTCACGAAGGAAGATGATTTACATTCGAGTCGGATGAGCCGCGAGTTTTCGGACCGACGCTTTTCGTCGTGATCGCGTAATTTCGTGCGGGCAGAGAGAGACGGAGAATATTTCGTTCGCTCGCTCGCTCGCTCATCCGACTCGGCAAAAGCTTTCGGACGATAGCGTATGAAGCGGCCTGTACGCAGAAGCGCGCGATGCAGTGGTGGGGGAAGCGTGGGCGAGAGCGGGAGAGGGGGGTAGAACGCGGTGCGCGCACAATGTTCGCTGCTGGCGAACGGGAGGAGAGAGAGAGAGAGGAGGACATCGAGCGCGGTAGTCGGACAAGGAGGGAAGGCATTACTCGTGCATGGGGCGTTACCACGGAAACCCCTATTCGTTCTCCATCCCTTCGCTCGTCAGGCGAGCGCGAGGGAACGAGAAACGCGGAGGAGAGGGGGAGGGAGACGGTGACAGAAATAGAGGGACCGAAAGGACGACCGACGGAGAGAAAAAGGACGAAGCGCGAGAGAGAGCGAGTTGGCCGCCACGAGTTTGTTGGTGGAAGCGGGAGGGAAAGAGAGAGAGAGAGAGGGAGGGAGGCAACGCGATATCGAGAGGGGAGTGGGTGATGAACGGAGCGAGCGAGAACGGGCGAGCGAGAGGGCCGCGTGTCGGAGGAAGATAGCCGGCAAATGCGGAGCCGCCAGTGCAATCAACCCGTTGCCCACTCGCGAGGGTAAAACTATCCCGAAGTCAGACGAGGATATACGTATATTGCGGAGGGAGCTTCGCGTCGCTATATACGTATATATATATATATATAAATATATTTTATATGAACACGCACACGTATACAGGAGACATCGAGTAAGTAGGAGATGTGGTGGGAATGAGCGCGAAAAGCGAGAGAGAGAAACGAGTGCTCGGAGAAAAAAAGAGCGGACGAAATTACGAGATTAGATGCCTGCTACCTGTAACGAGACTCCATCGATAAAGCAGCGTTCTGCGTTAAAGATCCCGAGGCCGCGTGCTTTTTTAATTCGACGAGAGACGCCGCGAATCATTTCGAAAATAATCCCGACAAATTTATTCGTCCTATAGTAGGGACGAAAGCTGGAAGAGATAGAGATAGAGAGAGAGAGGAACGGGGTCTTCGTGTTCGCGTTAAATTCATTTCGATGTCGTAATTGTGAAAACTTTGTTCCTTCGTCGCGTTACAAAACTCGCATTTTACATAACGCGCGCTGCGCACGCCGGAGAGAGAATATTATCGACATTTCTCTCGCACACGATATCTCGAACTACGCCCGAGTAAATGAGGAGCCTCGAGTCTCTCGGTCCACGAGAAAGTCATCTCTCTCGATAAATCCTCCCGAGCGATCCCGATATATACGAAACGCCACAGTCGGCCCTTTCACCGGAATATTCGAAACGCCACAGTCGGCCCTTTCATTATCGCGCGGGAGCTGAAATTAAAAATGCTGCATAGAATTTTCAGAGATCTATTATATAGATATAAATATATAACGAGAGAAGTTGGATTTCTAAAATATATTCATCGTAAAGCGTTCCGATACATCTATTTTCCCGAATTTGCGGCCGAGTAATTGTCAAACGGCCTCTCGTACGCAGCTACATATATATATATATATGTAGATACGATGTTAAACTGCAGATACGGTGATGCGCGCGAGGGTGTCGGAGCTTTCGTGGCTGTTGCTGGTATAAAAGGCGCAGTTGCTCTATTCTCTCGAAACCAGTTTTCCTCCACTCGAGCGCCGGAGAAGGGCGGACTGAAAGAAGAAGGAGACGGAAGAGAAAAAGAAGGAAAGAGAGGCACGCACGCATACACAGACAGTACGCACGTCAGCCAAACTAGAAAGTTGCTGCTCCGACAACTCCGACGCTGTCGGTCGAAGAAACGGCGCTAGAGCTACCTTTCGAATTTCAACCGCGAACATTTTCTACGTATAGACGCGCCGCTTCCGTCGTCGCTTGCCGGACATGCGCGTCCTGGCGAACTGCAAAATTCGATCGGCGCGCGCGCGCTTGATTCTCTTCTCTCTCTCTCTCTCTCTCTCTCTCTCTCGCGCAGCGCCGCGCCGGCTAGCCCCGCGTATAAAACAACGCGCGGCGATCGAACGCAGCGTTTTCGAAAGCCGCCCCCCGTCTATCCGTGTCTCTCGCGAGCTCGCTACGGATCGGTAGGTGCGATCGATCGAGCGTATATTTGGTCGCGAGCCAAAACGCACGATGCGCCACCATCGCGCATACATATATACATTATGTACCATTGCTACACGTTACAACATATATATGTTATATAATGTACCAAGGCTCTTGTTATGCACGCTTAAATATTTCACGTCTGTCTCGCCACTCGACTCTCGCTAAAGTTGTCAAATAATAAATAATTGGTAGGATGAGAAAAAGGAGAGAGAAAACGGGGGTAATATGGTTCGTGGTTCTCGTAAATTCGAATTTCTACGTAACCCCAGGACGGATTAAGACGCGCGCGCGAATCCACCCTGAAAACCTGGTCTCTCTTCCTGCGAGTAGAAAGTATCCAGCGGTACAAGTATTTCGTTCTACGTCGAGGCAACGCGGTGCGGCGCAGCGCGACTTCCCGCCGTGGCGAGGTGAGGCGAGACGAAGCTGAGGAGCGAGCCGTGGCGAGACGAGGTGAGACGAGACGAAACGAGGCGAGGCGAGGCGAGGCCTCGGAGCGTGGGTATCAGCACGGAACCGAGTCTACAACGCATTAGCGCGGCGTTGTCACGTTTCGAGGTTCTCCCTCTCCCTCTTTCTTTTTCTTCGCCGCTCCTCTTCCGTCTCGCTCTCTCTCTCTCGAAGCTGGTGCCTTTCCCTCCCTCGTTGTCCTCCACCCCGACGCCTAGCAGCACCGACTCTTGTTCTTCTTTCTCTCGACGCCTCTCGCGCGACGTTGCTGACTCGACTGGCGGGAAAACTGCCTCTTCAAACGGATTTTCCCGCGACCGGTCTCTCATCTTCGTTTATATATATATATATGTATACTTTGTTATTCGTGGTCCGGCTATCGGTATTGCAGACGTGTTCGATGACGAGCGTCATCGATCGCCATCGTTTCCATATTTCAACGAACGAGAGAGAATTTCTCGAAAATTTCCGTGTTACCCGCGCTCTCGTAAAACAATAGAAATAACACGACCGCATTCGCGGAGAAAGCGATAAATGCATCCGTTGCATATATATATATATATATACGTACGACGCATTTTCCACGCTAAGGATGAATCGTTATCTCGGTATCTCTTGCTATCATTTGGAGCGAAATTGTACATGCTTTTACGGCTAAAGTATAGGCTAATTTTTACGTTCGCGAAAACATCGCTCTCTCTCTCTATTCGATATGGTCACGAAATAATGTAATGTAAAAATATTCAAATTACTATAGATTGATAATTCTTCTTTTGTTTCTGCTTTCAGCATAAAACCAATGAAAGGGAAGATGTTTTGGGCCTAAAGGTAAGCTAATTTTATACGCGATATATCTTTTGCGAATAAAATGGGAAAAAAGTACGCGGGATGTATAGGGCGGGAGATTCGGGACATTCTAATAAAAAACTACATCTACGAGCTATTGTGACGCTGACAATCCCAAATGTGCGCGACAAATGGGAAACTAATGAAAAGCGAAACAAAAATACTACATTAGTCGGGTTAATTCGAATTTTCCAAAATTGCGAAATATTTTTTACATATTACTTTCTATCGTCCAAAGCATAATTTGGAAGGACTTGTTCTTTGCAATTTCCCATCTATACCGCGCGAATATAATCTTGTGTGCGGCTTCACGTTGCGAGTGATAACCCTGACCATAAACACCATTGTCAAGCCGATCACGATTACTCGATAGATTAATTACTCGATAGAATCCCACAAGGCAAATTAAGACCGGGTTCATATATATATATATATATATATGTATATGTGCATATACACGAAACATATTCCGATATTAAAATTCTGACGAGCGTCGATCGATGTAGGCAAATTATAACAACGACATCGAAGCGCTCGCGTTTATATCGTCGATAAAATATTTGATTGTCGAGAGATAGGCTGTATCTCGAAAGAGCGAGCTTTTTTATCAAGTTCGCTGCCGCGACGATATCCAAGCTCTCCAAGTTCGGCGTCTTCGAGTAAGCCCCGAGAGAGCGGGGTCGGACGCGACGTCCTGTGACTTTGGAAATAGAAAGTCACTTTGAAAATAGGCTCCGAAATATGCGCGCCTGGCGAACACTTCCATATCGTCGCGGCTGACGAAGAAGACGACGGAGAAGAAGGAAGAAGAGGAGAAGAGAAGAAGAGAGGGCATAGACGCGGTTTTAGACTACGGACTCGGCGCGTCGGCGTCGAGTTAAAAATAACAGTAACAGCGGCGGAGCCGGTCCTTGTCGACGTCTACATCGTCCACGTCGCATTTACTGCCGACTGCCGCCGCTGTTGCTTCGCTGCTGGCTCGGTATCTTCCACCAAGCTGGACGGTGATATCGATGACGCTACCGCGCCATTGCGACATAGCCTTGAAGCGAGCGCTCGTCGCGATTCAAGAAGAAGTCTAGGAGCTCCGCGACCAAAAAAACAGAGTCGATTTTTTGCAGGAATTTTTATTTCCATCTTGTCGGCCGAGAGACAGAGAGAGAGGATTTTGATCCGCTCGCTTTATAACGCACGCGCGCGTATACATATACATATTATAATCCATCAATCGGGGTTTTTGCGCTCGCCCCGCGAATCTCTCTAGAGGTTTCGCGGTATTTTGTCAGAGGACGAATTTATATAAATCTTGATGACGAATTGTCACGTTTTTGTTTCGCGAGAAACTTTCGCATCGATAAAACTGGCCAAATTTGTCGGTGCTTTTTACAAAACAGAAATTATTTTAGCTCGTGCTTCCGCGTGAATCGATATATATATATTTATATTCGTGGATTTTCGAGCGTAAACTTGACATACGAGATCTGTCGCGCGGCCTCTCTTCATCGCGACTCTTTTCGTTTGCTTTATTATTTTCGTGGAAATGACGTTTGTCAAGTTTTGAACAACATTTATTTATTCGCGATCTTATATATGTAGCAACACTAGTAGTATTATTACATTTCTCGAAGCAAAAGATTCGTACCCTTTTTTTCTAATCGCGTTGTGAAAAATTCGGGCTGTCAAATTTGTCGAAGCGATACACGTTCGTCATCTTAATTTAGAAGGAAGCTCGTCGCGTCGAATTTGAAAGCGACCTACCGCTCTAGACAATATAATTAAATCGACATAAACTTTATTAACGTATTAGAAAATGCAGATAGCATGTCACATTTGGGGAAGGCTTGCTCGATCAAAGTGTTAAATAAGAGCATCAGGGCTCGAAATGTTGGCTGCGCGCGCGATCAACGGATTCTCTCTTCGTGCAACGGCGAGACGAATTTTATTTTCGTCCCGCGGTGGCGTCCCGCGACCTCGATGCCATCCCCCACTATAATCTCTCGCTGTCGTCTTAGCGCCGCGGCTGACACCCGTAAATCCAACGCCACGATCGCCTTCGATAATACTCGAACGGTATCGAACATCGCATGCGTATCGAATGGACGGTTTCGAATGAAACCAGCCCGCGCGAGTGTTTGCATTGATTCGAGCATCGAACGTGTCGCGTCTTCCTTACGAACGATATCGTACGGACGTATATATAATCTCGCTCACAAGGAAGATATAAATTTTCTTCGTCTTTTTATTATTTCTAATCCTTAAAAATATTTCCGATATATTCATTGACATTTATTGCCTCTTACACGCGATTCTCAAATTTGTTTATTTTATTTGACATACGATTAATAGTTGGAATCGAAGAAAATGACACTCGATAATTCAACAGTTCGCTTACATCTTACATACTTTGCGCGGCATGCCGGCTAGGAAAATAGACTCGGGACAGGATACGGGAACAGTTACCGGCGCGCCTCGAGGCGATCGGGCAAGGACGGTACCGCTACGGGCAAAGATCTTCCATTGCTCTCCTCCCGCAGGAATTTATGACGCGAAAAATCTCGTTTCCTCCGCGGAAATTCTCGCTGTTGGCCGATTCCTCGCAAGGCTCTCGAATCAGCACGATCCAACTATATACGCGGAGATCGTCTTTAGGAAAAGCGAGAAAATAATGTTTACGACGTCGACGGTCTATCGACGTGAGATTTACGCTTCCGCCCGATTCTTTTTTTCCAATTCAAAAGTGTGCCTTAATATTCGAATATTTACCAAAATATTAAATAAAAAATCGAGCACTTTGCTCTTGTTAATTTATATTTTATGTCGATTGTTTTAAACATATGTATATATATATATATATATAGCGCGAGAGTTAAATCGAGGGTCACGCACAACTCTTGTCTCTCCCGACAAACAGGCAAGTTCTCATTTCCACGGTTAATATTCGTCCGATCCAAATATTAGCGACGCGGACGGAATCGATCGGGGGTAAATATACGGTTCGACAGGATCGGGCAAGAAGCGATATAGGACGACACTCCTAGATCCGAGCGAACGAGCGTAGCGGAGGTCGTTGAATCCCATTAAGCGGTACTCTCTGATCGTTTCGCTGCCGACCACCTGTATGCCGACGTTCTTTCCAGCCGATGTCTCCGCATCTCTCCCTACCTCTCGCGATGTTGCGTCGAGCGACGACGACCAAGAGAAGATGGATATCAGGATGAAAGCGATTATGCTCTTCGTCGTCGTCGTCGTCGTCGTCGGCGGCGGCGGCGGCGAATATCGCGCACCACGGCTAGAATTTATTGCATTCTCCTTTCCTCGTGTAGCTAATGCGGCCACACCTTTCACCAACACCCAGCCTCTAGTCCGACTAGCGTGCTTTAGCCTAGCTAGCTAAGCTATAGCCGATCGGAATATAGCCAGGCTCGATCGCTCGTTCGCTCCGCGACCGGCTGTACGATGACTATTCCCGCACATCTCGCAACGCGAGAACCGTCTAACAGTAAAGTCTCTCTCGCTTTGTTCCGTCTTCGCAATCCTCGGCCCCGACAAACGGAGAGAGAGAGAGAGAGAGAGACTATCTCGTAGGATTTTCATTACATTACATTATCTCTCGCTAGCCTTTACGGGATTATTTTTCTTCAATCTCGAGGAATTTGCGATACTTCGATATTTGCAACTTCAAATATATATATATACACACACACGTATTTTCTGACAATGAGACGTTTAGAGAGTTAGATTTCAAACGCAAAAGGAAACATTTTGACGAATGTTTCAAAATTTCAAGTTCGACATCGAGAAAAACCTGTGCAAAAAATAGTCGATGAATAGAAATAGTCAATAGTTTTAAATTGTTTTCTTTTGTTTTCGCAATAAAATCGTTTATTTAAAAATTTACCTAAATGTAGGATGTGATATTTGATACTGAAAAATGAATATTTATTTTACATACTGTTTAAATGCCGTTTTGAGATCAAAATTCGAATGTACGTCCGAAAGAAAAATAACTTGAGAAATTACAAAAGACTAATAGAAACCTTTTAAAAATTGTTCGAAAATTGTTTTGGCTCCTGCCGGTGTTTGGAAATTTATGAGTACAAGTTGTGTTTTTGTATAGTTTTTCTGGGTGCATTCTTTGAAGAATCGTTTCCTTTGTTCTTTCTTGTGTTGTTTTTCCTTTTTCTCTCCATCTTGCTCATTTTTCTTGTCGAATACTCTACCTCTTGTCCTTTTGTCTATCTGCTTTTCCTCGTGTTCTTCACTTCTTTTTTCTACTTATAAGTCGAATCGCAAAGGTGCGTCTCGGAAATTAAAACAACCGAATTGTAATGAACGATTGCTTAAATTATCTTTTCGATATGCGTAACTTTAATAGGATCTTGTTTTAACGATTTTATTTCTGTAATATAAGAACGTTATCTAATCATTCGATATATTCGAATCTAATTAGCTAATTGGCATAGAGTTACATTATTGCGATAGAGTGCAAAGTCGACGATCATCATCCTGCGCGCAGTCCTGTTCACTCCCGCAGGAATGGCAAGAAGGCCTGCTCGACGAAGGGAGGCTTTTTCCGCTGCCGCTTCGACGATCCGAACAAAAAGGGCCGAGTCTACCCGGGGACCCTTCGACATAAAGGGCTCTAACCCTCATTCTCTTTCCCTTCGGATAGTGCGCGCATAGGGTCTTCTACCCCGAATCCGACCTGGTCGGTCCCTGCAGCCTCCGCGCATATTTCAACCGTAGGGCCACATGTAGCATCGCACATAAGCATTTCCATTTATCCACGTGTTTTATCCATGCGGAGCACGTTATTGTTCGAAATACATGCAACAACGCCGTATTGTTTTGGGCTAATTAGAAAAATTGTAAATTTGTAAGTTTTTCTTAAGCGAGAGACAGCGTTGAGACAGTGCGATTTCAAATAATCATTTTACATCAAAGATATTTATTGGCGCATTTCGAATTTATCGCATTTTTTG